CTTTTTCATCTTATCATTGACCATCTTATCTTTTCTCAGCACAGATTATCTGATCACGGATCACGGCATCTGACAGTCTGGGCTAGGGGTCTAGGGGTTATCTTTATCGATCCAAGGCTGTGTGACATATGCTCCGGAAGGTTCTACTACAACCCATGACCAGTGCTCCATGCGGTACATAGCCCTATGACTCATTAGTTGTAGATATGACTCAGACTGGATTTGGGCATAAATACTGTAGCCACTTTGTCGTATTCTCCAGTCCTCAAATTGCCTTCTCTTTTTGACATTATTTCTTTTTGATTGTCACAATCTTATATGAGTTGTACGGCCTCAAAAATACAGAGTGCCAATACACACACTGATGAAATCAAGGTATAAACTTTTACTGCCTGATGTTCTACTGTTTGCTGATTTTGCTGCCTAGCACTCAATTTCACCACTCAAATGCTGAGGCGGTAGAGGGTGTTAGTCAGGCGGTAGTGGCCAGTAGCATGACACATTTTACCACCCAACTTTACTGCCCTTGCCAGTAACCAGTGGTAGAAGATGGTCACTGTATTCAACATGACAGTTGGCTTAGATCCCTTTAAGCTGGCCCACATCTCATGTTTCTGGTTACACTATTTTTCGGACTTATTTTGAGTTTTGAATGGTTCCAGGATCCAGGGCTTATAGAATAATTGGAAAGAATTTGGATTTAGGATTTCCAAGTGTTAGCGCGCACGCCTCTTTGGTGATCGGAATTCAGTGTTATGCAGTGTTTGGCCTGCCCGATTGCCTATACAGGATCTGCTGATTGTTTTCATTCCCTCAGTCTTACCATTACTTGGGTGCGACTGAGGGTACATGTGTCTATTGACATATCTATTTTAGAGATACTTACATTACCATAGAGACTTACAATATCTTGTCATCTACAGGTGAAATGGAGTCTTACCATTATTTGGGTGTGACTGAGGACTTACGATATCTTGTTGTCTACACCAAGGCCTGCCATTGAGTGGTGGCCAGGTACCCAGTTGCATATAGTACTTGACTTTTGAGGCTGGGCCTTATAAGCTCTCTTCTCTTATTTCTATTTCTATCTCCTCTTCCATATTCTCAGATTCCACCACAAATTACAATCCTCTGGTTGGAAGCTACCTTTTGTATCACAAAAAAGCATGCCTCTTCAGCACACAAAACAAGGCTCTCTGGTCATTTTACAAGTCACAGTGTTTGACCATACCAAATACATGACATGGGCAGTATCCACCATTGCTGTCTTGATGCCTTACACCTGAGTAGGGCTGTTCAACAACGGATTCAAAGCTTTCTTACCTGGACTCCCATTATTTGCATCCATGCGCAAAAGATAGTGTGGGTAAGAGAATAAGTATGCTTTGATATGTTCATTTGAGTAATTTACAGATGTGACACTTCGAACCCTTGAAGAACATGGCATTTTACGCCGGCCATTTGTTTTCAGCTGCCAAATTGTATGTGGACCTCGGTACTTATATTACTTGCTCATAAGCTCAAGGTTCCCTCAGCAATTCGGAAAAAAAGAGAGCAGAATCGGGTCAACCGACTGCGGATTCTGCCGCCTGGCTCTAGATCACTGGTGACAGCAAAGGCGAGCTGGCTGACCCTAGCTCTTTCGGACCTTCTTCGGATCCGAGATTGCAAAACCTCTGTCTGCACTCCCTGATTCACCGTTCGCCGGCAAGCACAAATGGAGTCTCACGAAGGCGATCCCGAATTACGGACAGGTTCTATCCCTGTTTCTTGGGGGAGGACTTGGATCGAGGCCGCATCGTTTCTGTTACATAGGCACTTGTTGCAATCCTAAATTGGTTCTGAGTATGTTGCGCTATGCTACGATTGATGATCTAGCCGCTTTAGGAGGGAAGAGATTTTAGCGTAAGCGCTACCAATGGGTTTACCTACCCTGGAGATCAGAAATCTAGGCTATCGCATGGCAACTGGTCGCCTTGGTATAGCGTGGAGTAAGTGCACAGATCGAGAACATGCACAATGAATTCGGGATCATATTCGTGGTGTAGGCTGAGCCGAAAATGAGGCCTTGCAAGTGCCGAGAATTTGTGTCGCAGTAAGCGGGCTCAATTAAATTGGAAGTGGGGATCGGAATCACTTTGATAAGTACGATTGGCGACTCGGGTCCTAATTTGTCACGTGCGACAATTTGTCCTGCGCCAAACCAGCTCTTGTCCCAGCGACACTCGGACCCGGACTCAGTCCGTCTATGTCCAGCACATGTCTCGCGTGGGTCGAGGCATCCAAAAATGGGTCGTTCGATGCTTGCGTGGTCGGACTGCGAGGCAACGCAATATAAAATGGGTGGTCCTAGTCTCGGGAAGCATCATCACCCATTCCTCTTTTTCTTTTCGTCCTCCTCATCCCACTCAACATGCCTTCTATCACGACGTTCCTTCAACTGACCGCCCTCGTTGGTGCCGCGCTCGCGCTGCCCAGCAACATGACCGTGATCGACAACGGCAAGCGCGCGTCCTGCACGGTCAACAGCGTAGCCAGCGCGCAGAACCTGAGCGGATGCACGAATGTTGTCATCGAAGGCTTCACTGTGCCTGCTGGAAACACGATCACAATCGCCGTGCGTGTCGCTGGGTCTTTTTCCTTGATCGAACTCCGTCTGACGCGCGGTTCCAGGCTGCAAAGGGTGCGACAGTCACCATGACCGGTGATGTCGTTTTCGCAAAGACGTCGAGTGCGCAGTTTCCTATTTTATGCAGCATTTGTCGGTGCTGACTCGATCGCAGCTGCTGGTCCGCTCTTTACCTTGAACACGCCCGCGATCAACTTCGTCGGAGGGAACCACAAGATCGACGGCAATGGTGCATCGTACTGGGATGGGCAGGGAACGAACGGCGGCTCCTTCAAGCCCCACCCCTTCATCAAGTGAGTACGCTTGGGTATTCACTGGAGGCGTAGGACTTGATCTTGCGCCTTCTTAGGGTCAAGGGCTACGGAACGTTCAAGCAGTTCACCGTCCTCAACTCGCCGGCTCAGGCCATCTCTGTCGGCACCACCGGCGGGGCCACGACCATCTCTCAAGTCACCGTCGACAACTGTGAGTGGCTGCGCTTCATCGGGTCTCTGATTATCGGGGTTGATTGGCCGGCTATTCAGCGCTCGGCGACTCCAAGGGCGGACACAACACCGACGGGTTTGACGTGAGCGCCGACGACGTCACGATCTCGTCGTGCACGGTCAAGAACCAGGACGACTGTCTCGCGCTCAACTCGGGAAACAACATCATCTTCGAGGACAACACCTGCGCGAACGGCCACGGCATCTCGATCGGCTCGATTGCTACGGGCAAGAGCGTGACGAACTTCCAGGCGCTGCGCAACACCGTCACCAACAGCTTGTACGGGATCCGCATCAAGGTTCAAGCTTCTGCCACGAATGCCAAGGTTTCTAATGTCCTCTACTCTGGGTGCGTGTCGCGGCCACAGCCGTTGGTCTTGTAGCTGACCGAACGCCCGACAGCAACAAGCTCTCTGGCATCAGCTCTTACGGTGTGCTGATCACTCAGAGCTACCCCGCCAACAACGGCAAGCCTGGAGCTGGCGGACCCATCTCTGGCGTCAGCTTCTCTGGTTCTCCGACCACGGTCGCTGGTACCAGCAACGCATATGGACTGGTCGTTGACTGCGGTGCTTGCACTGGCACGTGGGACTTTTCCGGCCTCGACATCACCTCCGCCGGCAAGGGCCACTCGATCACCATGGACAAGGCCACGGTGCGTTCTCCTGCTCTGATGCAGCCCCCGCGAGCAGTCACCTGACGCCCTTATTCAGATCTCCGGCGGCAAGTACTAATCGCTCCGTTTCCTTCCTTGTCAGGAGGTTGAGAACAACGAGCCTAATTTACCTTTGGTTGGATCTTTCGGAGTCGCGCATTCATCAGCTGTATCCATATAATTTGTCTGTCTCGATTCCCAGAATGCCATCCTCAGTCTTAATCCATCTTTGCGTGTGTCAATGTTTGGGTCGATCAGATGTAAAGCCACTCGAAATTCATGCTTTGACCCCGTCGGCAGCACGCTCGACAGTGGATTCACTCACGACCGTCCATCTCTGCCCCTGGCTTACGATGCCGGAGATCACTGTTGTGCTCCGTGACCTGCCCTGAACCCTCGTATTCTTCCGTGGTTCTGTCTGACACGCGCACTTCCAGTGGCTGACCGGGTCGCACATCGAACAGCGCCGGTGGAGCTTTTCTGAAAACGCTCGAACGATCTACATCAGGAGCTGCACGCTGCCGCGGCAGAACAGAGAACGGACCCTGCGTTGATGGCGGCCAGCAAGCTCGCATTGGCCGGCTCATCGTAGCGCATCAGTGACCCAGCGTCTCCCACTGTAAAGCCAGTGCGCCAGAAGGTCAGGGTGCGCAACGCAGGCTTTTCGGAATCAGATGGGACTGTCGAGTGATTTCGGTGGGTCAGTCATTCGACGTTCTTCGTGTTTGCGCGGGGAAACAGTGGGCTCACTAGGGGAGCCTGGTTCGAGCCGTGCCAATTCTCCAGATCCTCGACTGTCAAACATGCCACGGACGCAGTGGTCAGCGCAAACAGCAGACGAGGTGACTCGCCACCGCTGCACTCACCTGGCAGATCCTCCTGCGCTATCGCTCGCGAAATCGTGGCTCTGCGGCCTCTGGGCTCCTTCTCCGCGTTCTCCGTGAGGCTTGGCCATCTGTGGCTCGTGGATGTGGCATGACCAGAAACGGGTAGATATATACTTTCGAATGACAGACATCTGCACAGCCTCCCCTTTTCTGATGGGCCCCTGTTAGACACAGCACACTCACTGACTGGAATGTGATGTGATGGACTGTCGCCCTCAATGGCTAGAAGATAGGAACCTCCCTCGGGGCTAATCTTATCCTGGTTCGTGTGCAACTCACCTTGGAAGGTCGAGATCAATTCCAGTTCGAATTGCGTGTCATGTCAACATCACACTTCTGGCACTCGCAGGATAGCCGAGCTGGCTTTACGTGGATCACAGTAATGATTAGAGTCTGATAGAAACCGAGAGGCCGACTATGTAGAGATATTTAAAACATTATAAGGCGAGGATGTAATGAATGTAAGGAGCGGTCAGCCATGTGCTGTGCGTTCGAACGGGCCTCAGACGAGAACAGGGCACTTAGTAGCTGCCACCCGAGAGCTGTACTCGCGTCAGAAAACTGGTTCGTAATCGAGACCACGCAATGCAGAAGGCTGAACGTACCGTTGCTCGGTCGAGAGCGAGGGTGTGGCCCTTGCCCGCAGAGAGGATCTGGAGGCCGGAAAAGTCCCAGGTGCCGGTGCAGGCACCGCAGTCGACGACCAGCCCGTATGCGTTGCTGGTTCCAGACACCGTCGTCGGCGAGCCGGTGAAGCGGACGTCGGAGATCGGTCCACCGGTACCCGGCGTGCCGTTGTTGGCGGGGTAGCTCTGCGTGATCAAGACTCCGTACGATGTGATCCCAGTCAAAGTGTTGCTGTGGGGAAATAAGCATACGCGCTGGTTGTGCCGAACGCGACGCGCGACACGCACCCGTCGTAGAGGACGTTGGAAACGTTGGCATTGGTCGCGGAGGCCTGGACCTTGATGCGGATCCCGTACAAGCTGTTCGTCACCGTGTTGCGCAGCGCCTGGAAGTTCGTCACACTCTTTCCCGTCGCGATCGAGCCGATCGAGATGCCGTGGCCGTTCGCGCAGGTGTTGTCCTCGAAGACGATGTTGCTCCCCGCGTTGAGCGCGAGGCAGTCGTCCTGGTTCTTGACCGTCGAGGACGAGATCGTGACGTCGTTGGCGCTCACGTCGAATCCGTCGGTGTTGTGGCCGCCCTTGGAGTCACCCAGAGCTGAGCAGCAAGTCGGCAACGAGGCATGGAGTTTCCCCAAAGTCACTCACAGTTGTCGACGATGACTTGGGAGATGTTGGTTTGGCCGCCACTGGTCCCGACAGAAATCGCTTGGGCCGGCGAGTTGAGAACGGTGAACTGCTCGAACGTGCCGTAGCCCTTGAATCTAGCGCGCGCGAATTGAAGCCCCCATGCGTCTACATAAAACCAGAAATTACACGTACTTGATGAAGGGGTGCGGCTTGAAGGTCCCGCCGTTCGTTCCTTGGCCATCCCAGTACGACGCACCGTTGCCGTCGATCGTGTGGTTTCCTCCGTTGAAGTTCATCGCGGGGGTGTTGAAGGTCAAGAGAGGACCAGCGGCTGCGATCAAGTCAGCACGACCGCACTGCACCCAACGACAAAGAAAACCGCGCACTCGTCGTCTTCGCGAAGACGACATCGCCGGCCAAGGTCACCGTCGCGCCCTGTGCAGCCTGGTACAATCGTGCGTCAGCCGAGAGGATTCGAGTCGAGATCAGGGACCAAAGCGACGCGTACAGCGATCGTGATCGTGTTACCCGCAGGCACCGTGAAGCCCTGGATGACGACGTCCGAGCACCCGCTCAGGTTGGTCGAGCTCGCCACGCTGTTGACCGTGCACGTCGTGCGCTTCACGTCGCTCGGTAGCGCGAGTGCTGCACCGACGAGAGCAGAAAGACGAAGGAAAGTGGTGATTGCAGGCATCTCGAGCAGGATGAGAGGAGAGAGATATGTTGTCGATAGCGCAGATGCCTCATTTTATATCCAAATCGCGATCTCCTCCAGCCCGGCAACAATGAAACTACCCTCGGTCGATGCTGCGGACCATGCAGCCATTGACTGGCGGACACAGAGTCCGAGTTGTTCGTTGGGGATTGTGCTAATTGCGCGTCGTAAGACAACGTAAGGAAGATGCCGCCCGCCGGGACCCATCAGATCAATTACGAACGGGTATGGCCCGGATTCGCACTGTCAATTGTCTGTTTCGTTAGGCTTCATTTCCATAACATGAATCGTTCTTGAGCTTGAAATGGCAAATAGCTGATTCCCCTGTATCGTCGGCGAGTGACGCACCCAGCGGAGCTCTGGCAGTCCTCTCCCAGGAGTCAACGTCTGCGACTCTTGCGGATTGTCATGAGAACGACTCGATGTTGGGATCATGATGAGGTCACTGCCGCAGCGGTCCACGCTAACGCCAAAATCGCTTCGCTTCCGTCATTCAACGCGACTGGAGTAACGGAACGAATTTAGAATCGTGCGAAACTCGCGGAGACATACAGTAAAGGGTGACCCCGCAGCCCGACATCCCGGCCTCAGCGAGTCCGCGATCCCGACAACACGTTCCAGAGAACGCCTTCCAGTCCTCACGCCGAGCGCATCCATGCTTTGAGAAGGACTTGGGGGAAGATCCAAGTTTGTCATCGTTCACCCGTGTCGCGACATCACCGGCTCGGCCTCTACAAGCATACTTGACCAGCCGCTTGGGACCTATCCGTCGGGCATGGGCGGTCAGTCGCTCGGGCATCGAACGGCCTGCTGGTCCAGACTCAGCGCTGCATAGATTAGCAAAGTCTGGATGCGGCTGAGTGCGTAGCTGCTCGGTGTTGCCATCCGAACTACCGCTGATCATTCACCCGGACGTCGCAAGTTGGATAGCTGTAAATTTGACATGAAAATTCGATATCCGCAATAACGCAGTCCCTTGCCGATGTATTCTCGTAGCTTCGAGTCGGTGCTCTGCGGCTCTACAAGCAGGATTCATCGAGAAAAACGCCAGTAGAATGGCCATATCCTACTCTACTCCAAGTCGACGACCCTATGTTCTCTCACGAGTGCTTGTGGACGTCTCCTGATTGTTCGTCAACCCCGTTCAAATCTGATTATGGGCTCGTGAAACGTAAGCTCGAAAATATGCGCTCGCCTTGCTTTGCTGCCAATCCAGCCGATCAGAAACGGTACGAGCGACGGGTCGGATGGAAAGGGAGCCTCGAATCCGCGTCGAACCGGCCCAGCTCAGGCGCGAAGTATCAGGGCGACGAAGGTGCCCTCTGGTCTCCACTGACTCTGTGGTCATGCTCGCGCCTCGCGAGCTTGTTAGCGCAGGATTGTCCTGAGAGCCTCGCGTGCTGCACAGGTGGTCTATGCCGACTCCCGTTTGCGTTATCTGTGGCTTGACGGATCTCGAGCTTCGCAATCATTCATGCAATCTGGACTGACCGATTTTGAAATTTGCTAGAAGTTCAGTGACAGATCTTGCCGAGCCGGACCGGGTCGCTTACCGGGCTGGCCCCGATGTACTCTTTCTCTCCGTTTGTCGATTATCGACTTACCGTCAGGTTGCGCCTGCAATGCGCCCTTGTGTGTAGCGCACTTCGCGTGAAATATCGATGATACGATACCAGAAACTTGCATTACTCGACATCCGGGCCAGATTCCTGGAACGAAGGTCATTGTGCGAATACTTTCATGCTCTGGTTCCAAGTCTCTTGAGCTCCGGGTGACGCGCGGGACTTGACGTTTTTCGCTACCGAAGGATGGTTGAATCTTTTCGATGAAACCATGCAGCAAGCTTCGCGGCAGTTCAGCGATGGCCGCCCCTAATATCGGGCTGCGCGGAGGCTTACAGAGCAGGTGTGCTGCCAACGATAACCTATTCCCAGGCGTTCGGTCATGTTATTTCTTCTCTGTGAAAAATCATGAGTGCGAGATCGGGGACTTCGCAAAGCTGAAATCCTAAGCTCTGACAGGAATGGCCACTGGATTTCTCAACTACGGTTGGTTGGCAATTAGAGAATGCGGTTCGGCCGTTGAGGCTGTGCAATTCATCACAAGCGACGAGAAGCCCAAGGTCAAGACCGAGAACACCGGTCAGGACACGACGTCCTGGTCGTGTGGCAGTTATAGCCCGCCCCAAGCATCCGCCTGTCTCTGGAACAAGATTAGCGAAGGACATGGTGGCGGTGAAAGGAGATGATGTCCGACGATGTCGTGATTTTTCTGAACACGTGGCCTCCGGCCGGGTGGCTGCGCATATGCGCGCACTCCACCATCTCAGGCGCTCATTTCTTGACTGGGAGTAGGACTGAGTGGGACTCCCCGTGTATTAGACTAGACAGCTGCCGATTTCATATCTAATGTTATCGAGCCACCTACATACATTACCTGCATATAGTCCAATCATTACGCTTTCTCAGGTCAACAAGTCGTCTACGCCTCTGTTTACACTTGATCATTCATGTACAACGCGCTTTCAGAGATCCCCATTCCACAGAGCGCTCAATTTGTTAGTTCATCTGGTACTCAACTTCCCCACCCCCGTCGACCTGTCCCTCTGACTCGCCGGCCACGCAGCCGTTCAAGTGACTCATCAAATTCGTGATAATGTGCGCGACATCAAACGCTCTCTGACCTCCACCATCGTCTTCTCGACAGACACACCGTTTGTCACCCCTGCCGCGGATGTCGGGGATATCGTGCTGTCTGCCTTTGCGCCTCTCGGCACCATTTCGTACGGCCGGCAAGCCATCTTGAGGCAGACGAGCGAGAAGAAACGTTTCGTGGAGATTTGGAAGGACAATGCGCTGGAGGTTGTAACTGAGGTCACAGACACGCATGGCGAGTTCTATGCTGACCGTGAGTGGTCCTTCATATATCCGCTCGAGTGCTCACGGCGCCTGAAGCCATGTTCTCCGCCCTGTCGTTCTCTCCCCTGGACACTGCCCTCGCATACGTCGCGGAAGGCAAGGAGCCCACTGAGCCCGAGGAAAAGTTTCGGTTCAAGCCTACTTTGGGAGAGACGTACAGTTGCAAGCAACGTCCGACCATCTTCGTCTTTCGATGGGGCATCGACGACTCGACTGGCGGAAGTGTCGGCGTCAGCACTGGTCTACCTCTTCTTTTCGGCGAGCCCGTTTTCTCACCTATCGATTCCTCCGTTATCTATGCCACCGGATACGAGTACGCGAGGGATGGCCGACTTCTGGGGCCGGTATACTGCAACAATCGCGCTGCTGGCATATGGGAGATCACACTGCAGGCAAACACAGCGAGAAAGCTCACACCGGGGAACGAATCCTGTCGATCGCCGCGGGCGTATAACCGAGGCGGAAAGACACTGCTCTTCTGGTATTCGTCAGCTTCGGGTGGGCCACATGCAGGGACCTCGGCGCTCAACTCCATCGAACTTCCCGTGCAGCAGGGCGCTGAGCTGAGCTCTCTCACGCGCGTTCTCGTAGATACGGTGTGGGCGCAGCCCTCTTCTGCGGATGTCTTTCCAGGCTTGTACCCCGATGCAAACCTGGCTCAGTCGTCGTGTCTTGTTTCTGCTGGTGGGGTGGACTACATCGTCTTAAGCTCGACATGGGGGTCTCGTGGTACCGTCTTGGCTGTGTCCCTCTCGACGGGCGCTGTCGAGGATCTCACTCCCGATGTTGATGGGAGGTTATATCACTGGAGCGTCCTTGGCACGGACGGCGGCAGTCAGATCATTAGCTCGAGAAGTGCCCCAGCGGTTCCACCAGAGATTGTGCTTCTGCGACTTGGTTCGACAATTCGAGATGTTCTTGGTCAGGTCCTGCAGACACCGAAGCTCGGCGACAAAGGTGCACGCCATATCTACCCCTGGACTGCTTTAGCTGATAGTTCTGCTCTGTCTCCAAGTTGAAGCCGCATTGGGGGAGCTCTCTTCCACAGTGATCACTATCCCAGAACGGGGTGGAATGCAGACGGTGGTGATGCACCCCAAGAAGGTGGGAAGCACCATTCCACCTTGCATCCACTTCATCCATGGCGGCCCACACGGAGCCACGACCACAGCCTTCAATGCGGCAACCGTAGCTCTGGCTGTCGGGGGGTGTACGCGACTCCCCTTGCGCGTCTCTGGATAGTTATTCACGAAGAAATCCACAGACACGGTATCGCAGCCAAACTATCACGGATCGATGGGTCAAGGAGAGACGTTCCTGCGTTCGCTGTTAGGGCATTGCGGCGAGCTGGACGTGCAAGATTGCATCGCATCCGCGATGTATTTGGTCAAGCTGGGCCTGTCTTCTGAGGGGAGAGGCAAACAATTTGTCATGGGAGGGAGTCACGGCGGATTCTTGACGGCTCATTGTGCGTGTCCGAGAGTGGCTCTTGCCGGGGATGTCCTTCTAATGTGGCTGGCAGTGATTGGTCAGTTCCCGGACTTCTTCACGGCGGCAGTGCTTCGGAATCCAGTCATTACGACGGAGGCAATGTCATCAGATATTCCTGACTGGGTGAGTTGGTTGTCATCAGCCGTGTTTCACCGCTCAATGTGCGCCAGTACGCGAATGAATGGGGGATCGACTATCCGATATACTCTTTGCCGCAAGGCTTTCCTGACGTATCAGCGCAGCCACGGACCACCCTCCCGCCGCGACGATCCCCGGAAGCGGCCTTGCGCATCTATCCAACCTCCCCGATCGCTCATGTAGAGAAAGTCAAAGCGCACATCCTCATGCATTTCGGGGGCTCGGACTTGCGCGTCACCCCAAGCCATGGGCTGGAGTTCTATCACACCGTAAAGGGCAATGCCAGAAACTCAAGTCCTGAGCAGGGCGTCGAGATGTATTGGTTCGACAAGGAGAACCACGCGCTCGGGGGTGTGGAGTGTGCGAGGATCGTCGCGAAGACGTCGTTGGATTGGTTCGACAAGTATAGAAATTGGTTCTGAGATGGAATGCTGCTATCAAGAGTGGTAGATTTCAAATGTACAAGTAGCGCTGCTCCACCGTGTAGTCAAGGAACGCTGTCGATTGCCCGAAACCGTCTGGACTCTGTTGAATCAAGGGGAAAAGGGCTGGCCTCGACGCCGTTGCTCACAAGTGAACTACCGACGTTGGTAATTCAACAGATTCTGCGTCCCAGGACTTGCTAAGAATTGCATCAACCGTAGCTGGTCTGGCCAAGTATCAGAAGATTTGTGTGCACACGCGTGAAGGTCACTTGGACACGAGGCTTGTAAATGGTTCGATGGCGGCCCGGGACATTCTACTAGTGTTTCTTGGGTCAGTACATTCCTTCTTGTTTGGATAGCTTCCAATCGGACATTGCACACATTGAGACAAGCTGCTGAAGGATGTTATGTACATATTGGCTCCACCCTGAACAATAAACAAAAATTAAGCAATGAGATGTAACGCATGCGGCAGGAAAATGCGGTAGAACTGATAGGTTATGAACCTGAAAAGATGACCTGTGGGATGTTGCATACTTTCTTTGATTTTCTTCTGTGGCGTAATTCAGTCAGCGTCGGCGCACATAGAGACGAAATCCAAAAATTCAGATGCACTGCATGCCACGGGAGAAGCACATGAGAACCGCAAGAGTATACTTAACAATGTCCAACCGTTTGATTCCTGGATTCACTTTCCACGATCTTCCTTTGTGGCGCAATTCATTTAACGTCGAAGCAGATTGGGATCCCAAACTCACTGAGACGGGGGCGCGTAGCTTCTCATTTCGCGAAGGAAATCAAAACAAAGGATGATTATCGTTTTCTCGGCTCGCTGCTTTGTGCATCCTTTGAGCACCTCGCCACAAACCCTTGCCTTCTCTGCACTTCTGAATGTTCTTCGGATGGATTCCCAACTGGGTTCCTTTCCCATGCCACCTCGTCTCCGTCAACTAGGCTTGTGATGACTACACTGCCGTCGGGCAAGAAGAGCTTCATTGAGCTTGAATCAGCTGATGTGCGCAGAGACTGCGAGATCCGGGGCACCGAGCAGGCCAAGAATGCGGGTCGTAGGGCTGAGGCTGGTGCGGGTGGATTTTGCGAGGATCTGGATGTTGCACCCGGACGGACGAGATTCCAAGGTAAGGGCTAGTAAGACTACGGCACGCGCGGAGAAATGTCATCACGGACACAAACTGCCAAACGAGGCCAATCGCACGTGAATACAGGGCCACGAAGCGTCGGGAAGTGTGGCTGTTTGGTCCGTCTGTCTGCCGCAATGACTTGAGATTTGCGGCCAGCCTCACCGAGAATATTTGAAGAACCTCTCGATGACGCAGCTCATGAGTGGATGCCGGGGAAAGGGGATGACTATTGATACAGTGTCTGGATGAACTACTTTGTACGCCGAAATCGGAGACTGAGTTCTACTATCTGTGCAGTTTTGCACCACAGGGGCGTTGATACCCGTTCATGTGCTCTATACTAGGATACCCGTTCGGTGCAAAACGAAGCTCGAGCGGAAGCGCGTCGCGGATGGCCCGTGCTTCCCGAAGAGCGGCGATCGCTGTTGGTCGGTGACTCGGATCACGGGCCGTCAGCTTGTTCAAGAGGGCGAGGTAGCCGGGGACGAAGGTGGAGAGAACCTGGTGAGCGGCGGTTTCCCGGCCTTGAGGGTTCCCAAATGTCTGGTCTCATTCAGGCCCAAGGTAGCGGGATTAGGACCGGACGTACGCTGCAGTAGCTCTCCTCCCAGGAGTGTGCTCGAAGGAAAACAGAGCCGACGGCGTAGACCTGCACGACCGATGAGCGACGATCCCTGGACGACAATGACAGCCTCAACGTACGTCAACCGGAGCCAAGTGGTACGGCCTTCCTGCATCCGGTTCATTTGCGCGTGGCACCTCAGGTGCAGCATGATCCATTGTGCCCCAGTGGCCGGTTCCCATCCACGTATCCGGGTCCGAGCCCGCCGGAAAGCGTACTGCACAGCCAAAATCGATATACGCCAGCGCGATTCGCCGACGCACGAAGCATGAATACACTCCCGGATTACCGCAGTGGATGTTGAGAAGCAGGTTCCCGACTGAGATGTCCTGCGCAAGTGGTCAGTGCGAGGTTCGTGGGCCGCCGCTGATGGATCGATCACGCACGCGGTGGATGATGCCGTGCCGGTGCAAGAAGGCGAGTCCCTGAGTAGCGGATGCATGAGCCTACACGAATTCCGGAGCTGGCAGGCCGGTGCCCCGAACTGGCGCTCACCTCGAGTGCCTGGATGAGCCGGTTAAAATAATCTTCGACCTCCCAGAGAATGCTCGTTTGCACGGGCCGAGACCAGTGCGGCATGACGATGAATGTCCAGTCGTCGGTCACGATCTTGTCCAAGACCGGAATAGTGTGGTTTTCGGGGAGCGCGCGCACTTTCGGCGAGTTCAAAAAGGTGATGATGTCGATCTCCGCGCGATTGCGGACGTTATGCAGCGCCTTGACGGCGCACTGGAGAGGAGCCAGTCAGTCAGGGTGATGGCCATCGGAGGGTAGCAACACACCACGCGGCTCTGTGTGTCATACGCCATTTTTAGAGTCGGGCACTGGGCCACTAATCAGTTTCCGCGCTCGGCACGCGAGGATCCACTCGAGAACGCACCGGTGTGAGCCATCCCGTCGTCTGGTGCACTCCGCATCTCTGATACGCATCCTCGCTCTGGACGTCCACCAACTGCACGAACGCCTCGCCGTCGCGCGGCCGGAAAGGGTCGGCGGCGGGCGGATAGTAGAAGGACCTGCCGAGGAAAGGTGTCTCCGGGCAGTCGCGTGAGTAGTACCTCCAGCACAAAGCGTAACCGCGAAGCCGTAGAAACGGCTCGAAATAGCGCCACGGCGCGTCAACCAGATACGGGTCTCCGTCGACATCGAGGCTGTCCCAGTCGGTGAGATGGAGGGGAAAGGGAGCGTGTGGGTAGCAGCGTGCAGGGCGAGTCATGGCGGGGAAAGTGGCGGGAAAGATACCGCGGAATTGCCACTGCCTTTTATTCCGTGCATCGTAGGAGGCAAGTCAGAATATGGCAGCGATACGGTCCGGCTCGGCTGTGGTTTGATGTGTGCCAGGTCCAGGTCCCCGTCCCCGAGGTCGGGCCGAGTACCCGCATTTGGGATTAATTACAGACGCTCATTAGGCTGTGAAAGGGTTCCCAGCATCTCCGCCTGGAAAGCAGAGCTTGAGTCATTCTTCGTGGGGCTCTGCTGCCTCAGGCATTCCTCAAGATAAGGTCATTTCGGTGCAGAAATCGCATGGTGTGTGAACACGATTTCTCTGCGCCGGTCTGATCCGAACTAGCTCTTGACAGTAGGCGAGGAAGCTGGTCGAGAGCGGCGATCGTTCGACGAACACTGGAGAGGATATTCCCACTGCGCTTCGTTTGGCAGGGAACGCATGAAAGCAAAAGCGAGCGGTGTCTTCTTTCTCAACGACGATAAGGCGGAGATTCCTCAATCGCATACGGAAGTATTCCCAACTAGGCCACAATACGGCTGCGGGTCCGGTATGTCCAAGGATCAGTCTGAGATAACTTCCATTCTACAAAAAACGCTCCCCTTGAGTGAGTAAACGAGAATATCCATCGCAGATCGCCATGATAAGTGGATAGTAAATGCCGACAATGCCCTCTCTGACTGTCCACTGACCACGGGGTTCGGAATAATCCAAAGCAACACCCGAAAATGGTCACGGCACAGCGCGGAGAACGGCACGAATGGGAAAAAGGGTCGTTGGTCGTGCCAGAGGCATTGCGAATCCAGACGTCCGGTACGAGCTGAGAGTCATAACAGCTCAGGTAATTCACAATCCCTCTGTGCCGCTGAGAAACAATAGTGGCGTGAACATGGATTCGTTACTGGCTGTAGATAGTAAGATTTGAAATGTAGAAAACGTAGAAATGGTCCAGATTTGGGTGATCTTAGTCCAACATCTAACGCATGTCGAGCAGGCCGGTGGGGCAAATTACCCGCTGCAGGCGAACTACCGTGGCAAATGGTGACCGGGGGCCTGTGAATGTAGATAAAGACAGCAGTTATCGGAGATTCTCTTGATAAGTAGATGTATCATGTCATAAGCTAGACGCAAGCGGCAGCGAATGATAATAAACACCAGGCAGTGCTGCTCCGGCACTCGGACCGAGCCATCTCTTCGATGGTTTCATCAACACGTGATCGTGTTTCCACGTGCCGGTGGCAGCGTTTTGACGTCATAATCGAAGCCAGCCCCACAATCTTCTGGACGCGCTATAAACGGCCCCACCATGCGTTTACAGCGCACACGTTTCATTTCTCTTTCTTTCTCCCCCTCTGCACAGCATGGCTTCGAGTCGAAGACCGCCCCAAGCTCCGCTTCTCTCGAGTCGCGTCTCTAATGGACCAGATTTCCCCGGAGGCTATCCCAGGGACAGCGTTGTTTTCGCGACAAACGCGTGGGAGAAGCCAGCCAAGAATCCGCAGGGCGCGGCAGCTTCTGAAGCTAACGGAATGGGATTGTTGTCGACGGCTAAATCCTACCTGCCGCAGAACCTCAACATAGGCAACCCGGCGTCGTATTTCTCTTCTGCCCACATCTGTGCGTATTATAGAATGGTCTGAGCTCTAATGAGTCTCATTCTGAATTGTAGCCGCCCCCGAGTCGAAGAAGACAGAGGGCACGGGTCCGTACAAAGATTCACTGCACACGCCTCATCCTCCTTCTCTGAACACGGATGGAACGGTCTACAGCGACTTTAGTACACGCGCTTTCCTCGGATCTTCACGCTCCACCACGCCTGTTCCATCTGACGTAGCACATGCTTCCCCCTCCCAACTCTCGACTCCAGGCGCCTCAGTAGAGGCTGCCTCGCCCCATGTCAGAGCGGAAACACTTGATTCCAACGCGGTTGCGACGCCGACGCCGCAGCAGCAACCTGTAGTCGAGTCCTCGGGTCCCGAGTCGCCTCGCCAGGTAGTGGCTCTTCCCAGCGTCGCACCTTTCGCAACCGCATTTGTCAACTCCGTACCCAAATCCAATGAAGCGCAATCTCCCCCTGTCGCAGCTGCGCAGACCTCGCAGCCACCCCTCCCCGTATCGCCGTCGACGTCGTCCAGCAGCAGCAGCTCTGGCCGCGAGACGACGCTCTCACCTCCGTCGTCCCCCGAAGTCGCACCACCGCACCACCTGCCTACGCACCACCGCTTCACACTCCGCCGCAAGCACGGACGCGATTCGAATGGCAATGGGGCGACTGGACACGCCAAAGGCGTCAGTGTGGATTTCGCTTCTGCATCCGGTCCGGTTCCCGAGTCGCCCCGTCGAGCGAGTCTGGATGAGCCTCAGCCTCAGCATCATTCGATTCTGTCCTCGCAGCCAAAACGTTCCTGGATACGTAATCTGCGTGGAGAGGTCAAGGTTCTGTCTGGTCGGATGCGGCATGATCAGCGCAAGATCGAGGAAGGCAGGAAGATGATGAGTGGGGACGCTGCCTAAACCCCAACAGCGTGTTGTGATACCCCGTATGACCACTAGCTCGTTGCATGATTGACTGTAAAAGCTGGACTTGTAATCTATCTACTTATCATTCCGTCGTTCGCTGTACAGTATGTAATTTGTTTGCACTCACGTCTCTGCACGCATTCCGATTGTTTCTGCTATCCCAACCTGTGCAGGCTCTTTTGGACGTGATATATCTTCATGTTTGCCAATGGATGGTCGTATAAAAGCACGGTGAGCCCGCAGGCCCTCGGGATCCAACGCACTACTGCGTTTTCTGGATAAAAGTACATTTGGATTGTATAGTGTGTTGCTCGTAGCGCCCTTCACACCCACCGCTGCACAACAACACTGTTTGCCAGACCTGCAGCCTCAATCGTCGCTTCCATGTCGTCCAGTGTCCTGTTCGGAAAAGTCGTCCCGACGGTATAGTGCCTCGTCCGATTCTCGGGACGGGATCTAGCGGATTGGGTGGGGTAAGTCAGTTGCTCGAAGGAGCGGAGAACGAGACTAACGCGTCGATGAAGTTGCACAGATCCTGCACGGTGTGCGTCAGGTTCATCCGACACACCATCCGTGTTCCATCGGCCAGGCGGAGCTGAATGCTCGTCGTGGGTAGGGAAGAGTCGACCTCGAATCGGGGACTGGCGTTACCGCGCGGAGCTAATTCCGGCAAACGCATATGAGGCGGCGCAACATGTTAATGAGAGAGAAACGATGCACGCACAGGCAGGCGGGGCACGCGATACCGCTGTGGCAGCAGGTGTCGCAGAGCCCAGTCGGTTTCCCGTGCCGGAGAACGGTCCTGGGCGGAAATCTTCGTCCTTTTTGCTGGTCACATGTACATCGACGCGCTGGCCGATGCGCACGTTAAGGATCGAGGGCGGCGCCTGACTGTAGCGAAGGATTGTAAGTTTGGACTCAGAATCAGCTGTGGTCGCTGGGGCGCAATCGATGGGGGAACACACCCGGCACGTAAGGAGGCAAGCACTTCCGCGTTGGCTGGGTCGTCGTATCGCATCAGCGGCCCATCCTCGACTGTGAATCCATTGCGCCAAAATGTAAGAGATCGAGAAACGACCTCTTCTGAAGTATATGAAGACGAAGATTGGCTGTTTGATGCGATAATGCGTGTACCACGGGCTTACCTTGGCTGGGGGTGGACGCATGTGCAGCAGGGACAGATCGGCTGGACGATCCCTCACCACCGACTGTGTTTCCTCCGCCTGAGAACGCGAATGATCGGGTTGACGGGGAGGTGTCGGGAGCAGGTTCAGCGCCTTCACTGCAGGAAGTGAGCGCTAAGCGAAACAGGCAGCGAGACATAGCCCACCGCTCAGCTTGCTTCAGAAGCTCGTCTACGATATCCCCTGGTCTCCGCCCGCGTGCCGGGTTCTGGACTGCGATGCCGCTAGGTCCTTCACGTTAGAGTGCTCTGGGATAGCGCAACAGGTGGGTGAGGACGTGTCACCTGCGTTCACCGCCTGCAAAGTAGGTCTGATCTTCGTCTTCGTCGTCGGAGTGGCGTCCGCTCATTGCTCGGTCGGGGATGGCGATGAGTTCAGGATCTTGGCTCTTGAGAGCGGTCGAGAGATGAGTGGACAGCAGCGACAAGCACCACAGCACAGCCACCCCAATCAGGAATATCAAAACGTCGGAAGCAAGCGCAAACAACAACTCCAAGAACTGCATCTCTTGCGCACACTGGCTAACGGAAATCCCTCCAATTCTGGTCGCAGAAACACGAATAGCCGGAGCTCCGTTAGAAGTTCTGTACCGACCTTACAATCACAATTGGCAGTGAATGACGCCGATGAGTAGTGGGCCTTGGTCTCTGCCGAAACACTAGTTGAGAAACATAAAGAAAATTGCATACTAAACGAAAAGAAAAGGAGCTGAAACCAAAACAAAAAATCCGCAGAAAAGGGCAATTCATAATGCACTGGAGCGTAAATATAATAGATAAAAGTTTGATGAGTCTGATGGAGAAAAACATTGGATCGATGCTGCTGCGTATGCAGAGGCTTCTCCGAACGTAAAGATTCGTGACCTGCTCGATAAAAAGCTGCCGCCAGACGTGTTCGAACCGGCGGGTATCTCACGTGCAGATCATGTGATCTTCTGTTAAATTCTCGTGACCGACTGGTTTTGATATTCAAGATAAGATGTTTGATAGGAGTTAGACTTCTTGTGAGTCTTGAGCCCAATTAATTCACGAGAAAAATGACTGGAATATTTATTTTCTGACCTTGCTCTTGGTAGTCTCACAATGAGATCACGCCAAAAGAGAAAAAGCAGCAGGCACTTTATGCATGGAGATTCGGACTTCCAGAAAAGGTCGTTGATATATCATTTCAGACAAATTTGGCCAAATACATGCTTGTTAAAGTGAGGCCAGGTCGAAGATAACGCCCAGCACTTATTCCCACGCTGCGTCCCAGCCAAGCCCACTGCGATCCCACTTGGCAGCCGCATTGTTGAACGACGACCATCCGAGGGCTGAGTGGAGGACACCCGCCGCGCGGATCCAAACCGTGCCGTCAATCTGCGCAAGACCCGGATGGGTCTCCTTGCCAGTTTCATTGAACGTACCGATGACCTGGCCTGCGGCAACTTTGCCGTAATGGATCTGTCCGTAATACAATGCGCGGATGGTCTTTATGATGTGCGAATCATCGAAGCGGAGTGCGTTGGTGATGATCGGCGTCCATGGATCTGTGACATTGCTAGTCTTCAGGCTCGCGGGAGCCGGGTCTTTGGGATACGACATGAGCAGCGTAGGATTGATGCGCGGCCGTCCACGCGCGAGAACCCAAGCAGCTGAAGAACGGGCATAGCCCTGCAGCATCTGAACTTTGTGCAGCTTCTGTGGCAGTACATCGAGCAGGCGGGGCAAGACAATGGCGCTGGTGAGGGCGTGCACCAGGAAGAAATCGACCCGGGGCTCACGGCCGGTGCGCCCGAGACCAACGGTGAGCAGCACCGACTGCCAGTAAGCTTCCTCGACGCGTCTGTTGATCTCGGCATCAAACGCAGCGCCTTCCAAGGTCGTGTCGATGGACCACTTGGAGTACAAGTTGCGCAGCGCATGAGTGCGGGTGGCAGAGTGGAGGACCTGGTAGATTCCCGCGCCGCTAGCGTCGCTCGGAACGTATGGCAGCGCGGGCACCAAGTCGGGCGAGTCGTACACTTGACGGAGAAGTGAAAAGAGAGTGACGCCTTTGGTGGGAACTTCGGGGATCTTGGGCATCGCGGACGACCAGTGGTCTCCCAGGACAGATACAAAGTCTCCTTCGGTTGTGGCGCACATAGCAAGCCCTGAATTCGAGTAAGATATCCGCAAGACAAAAAAGGCGCTGCAGCCAGACCTTGAGCAACCAGTGAGTCCAAGCCCAGTTCCACACCGAACTGTAAAAGAACAAGAAATCAGACGCGTTCCTGAAGGATCTGGTTCCCAGCTCACCCCGACATGGAGAAGAGGATGCAACGCGCCGCCGAAGAAACGCGAAAACATCGATGTGCCGTTGAAATTAGCTGGCGCAGCCATCAACCAGTCCTCGAGTGTCTTGGTCACACCCTTTTTCGCGATCTGGTCTGAGAAGAACACGAGGTAAGCACCATAGGCGCTAGAAAAGGGTCAGAACCCGGCACAAACCATCAGCGAGCACGTACTTCCGATCTCCCAGCCTTGCTTGCCATCGCATCTCGTCCACCGGAACCCCAGTGTCCCCAATGGGACGCTCTCCCCGTGCCTCCTTCTCGTATATTTCCTCGAGCTGCTTCGGGGTCGCTCCCATGTCACACGCTGCGACAAGGCTGATACACGATGTGCATTGATCAGTCTGTATATCTGAGTCAGGCGACGGCGCGACGTACTGGTGGGAAAGGTGGTTATGAAGCCCGCGGTCGTTGGAGAAACAGTGATGCTCTTTGCCGTCGCGAATAATCAGCTCCCGCATCTTTTCCAGACTTTCCGCCGTCGAAAAGGTGCCTATGACAAGCGGGCGAATGGTTGCTTTCGTCGTCGACATCGTCTTCGTTGTGGTGGTTGTTTAGGTGGGGATTTGGATAGAGACTGCAGGTAATCTGAAACTCTGCCTCATCAGCTCATCCAAGACTCTGTTATATACAGTGGGACCTCCATCGATGACAGAGCGAAGCGAACAACCGAGAATCGCGCAGCACATATTACGCAAGCGTGGTTCACTTTTGGGCACGTGATCCACTCGTTTAACCGATTCGTCCATTGAACACAGGGCTGGGTAACATCCGGTTCGACATGAAGTTCTGAGCAGTCATCCCCTTTCTACCGTTTTACCGTCTGGTCTCGTGGTCTTCGGGCACCCGCGAGTCAATGTACTCGCCTCGTGGATTCTGACTTCCTCAGTCGTGATCGCGTGATGTTGATTCGGTAACCGACGATTGTGGGTGAACATCTGACTTGAAGAGAGGGATACACAAGGAGATAGCGGGCCAGAAGTTTTTTCTTTTTCTCTACTGCCGTCACATAAATCTGTCGGGGGCCTGTCTATTTGAGATTGGCATTGATCGAAATGCCATGGCTAGCTCTCATTTAGCCAGAGCCGAGGGATGAGGATTGTTCGTTGTGACACCCGAAATGTCATTTCTGTCTAGAGGGAGTGTGTTTCTCCACGAGAAACCTTTTCAAGCCTCATTTTTGTTTCCGTTTGATTGTAGTGTTCATTGTCCATTGTTTTTGCAAGGCGAACTTCATGTCTGTATGAGACTATCGTATTAATCTCGAATGACTGACACCAAATTGAGTGGAGGGAAGATAGTCATAGCTATTTCAGGTAGCATCCCCGAAGTCCATCTACACGTGGTCGGATGCATTCCGCATCGCATGCGCATCTTCCCCAAGGGGAAGATCTGACACACCGGGAGAATGACTAGGACATCCCTTCGAATGGAAATGACCCCTGGAAACTCTTCAAAAACAAAGCAGATATGGTCTTGCGTTCGTTTTGACAGTCTCGTCGATATTCCCTTTCTGGCGCCCACATACCTTGGCTGACTTCATCGGAGAGCCAAGAGATCTTAGCATTGTTAGAGTTCGTGAAGATTCCGCTCTCTGGTTTGTATGGAGTAGATTCGGGCACGACTTGAGCAAAGGAGCTATATCATACCCTCGCTGGACAGAGTTTTATGAGTTTTGTGGAGACATATGTGCGGGTCAATGGAATTTGCATACCCGCCGCGAAGAAACGCACCAGGAAAGAATTATGGGCGACATGAATCTGCACTCTATGCTAAGTTCCGGGTACTCTGGAACTCCCCCGCGCTTTTCTCGTCGAAGAAAGTTCGAAGACGGAGAACAGATGAGATGGGCAGCGGGGGTCCTTGCTGACAAGCGCACCCCGGATGCATCCTTTCTCCTCTGAAAGACTGTGGCTACGGAGACGGCCGTGTTCCCGTTCGTTCTTGAGGTGCGAAAACAGGTAGCGACTGAAATGCTAGCGAAGACCTCCTTAGCGCAACCTCATCGTGCGCCACAAAGCATAGGCGAGTGAAGCCTCGTTGTAACCTGATGTACAGTGGTAAATATCAGAGCTGTGGAGCGAGTGCTGAGCAGGGAAGGATGAACAACCAAGTTCGGACGATTGCGCTAAGCGGCGATGTGGAGAATGCTGGGCCGTGGAAAAGGGTGCTCAGCTTCGAAGATGATTAGACATCGTAACGCATAACTCTCATTTGGCGATGCTGACGCAGCAGACTAGCACTGTAGAGAGTCCGCGTCGCCGCTCATCAAGATGACGTGCATCCCATGAGGTGTATCTGATTGTGGCGGGCCGAATTGGTCAAGCTAGGTGGCCAGCAGACAGCAGTCTCCGTCAGTGTATCCCCCGGGCGTAGGTTTGTCACCAGCTGCTGCTCTCTGACTCTTGCTGATGTCAGATGTGTCTGTCTCTGGAAATGAAATTTGTCGTGATGGATGATACGACGGTTGAACTCGCATCATGATCCGTCTGTCATCTTGCCAGGGGGAGTAATTTTGGCAGGAGCTCTCGAGATTGCTGGACTGTGGCTCTACGGCGAGCGAGCATTACACATCACGACGCGACCATGCTGCTCCTCGTCTCAGTCAGCTTTTCGTGTGTTCTGGATTGCGAGCCATGCGCGTTCCTGGGCCACAGAGATCCCCTATAGAAAAGACGGCGCATATAAACCAAGGGAGTCATCCCTTGCAATCTCATCTACTTTGAAGATGTCCTCCGATACTACTGCTGCCTCGATCGCTAAGCTTTTCTCCCCGGTGACTCTGGGCACCGTCACCATGTCCAACCGAGTCTGTGAGCTTCGGTTGTTTTACGATCGGGCCAGCGATTACTGACAGCGACCACAAGTCATGGCACCCATGGCGCGCAATCGCACGACGGACACTGTCCCGAACGATATCATGCGGGACTACTACGTGCAGCGCGTGCGGGGCGGCGCGGGCCTTATCGTGACCGAGGCGAGTCTCGTCAGCAGGCAAGGGTGCGTACCAGATTGTCGTCGGAGGGGATTTCATGCAGCTGACCGGGATGACGCACCAGGACGGAGTGGGCCAATTCGCCTGGGATCTGGAGCAAAGAGCAGACCGTGGGATGGAAGAACGTCGTCGACGGGGTGCATGCGGCTGGCGGGCGGATTTATTGCCAGATCATGCACGGTGAGCACTCGATGGGAATTCCCACGTCGGCAGCCCGAACTCATGAAAATAGGTGGGCGCGCATGCCACCCGGACGCGCCCCATCAGATCGCTTCAGGAGAGGTGCGTGCTCGTGTTGAATGATGCATTCGCCGAACCTGACCTGGATTCCAGCCTGTTTGGGCCCCATCCGCCGTTCGCGCTGCCGGTGGAAAATTCCGATTCCTGCCCGGAATACCGGGCTACCAGACCGTCAGTGTCTTCTAGCCGTGACCGAAAGACCTGTGTGTGTGCTCATCCTGTTGCACAGCCGACGGAGATCCCCGACCCCATGAAGATCGTAGAGTTGTTCAGAATTGCGGCGGTCAATGCTAAGGAAGCCGGATTCGACGGGCTCGAAGGTGGGCTTCATCTGCGTCACGGTTACTTCGTTCGCAACTGATCTCTGAATCGCATCACAGTCCACGGGGCCATGGGATACTTGATCCACCAGTTCCTCGACCCGACCGCCAACCTGCGCAAGGACAAGTGGGGTGGCAGCCCGGAGAATCGGGCCCGGTTCGCCCTTGAGATCATGAAAGCGGTGTGTGAAGTGTGGGGCCCAAATGTGGGGCTCAAGATCAACCCTGGTCCGTGTCCCCTTTTCAACGCGCATCCGTCTGTCCGTACGCGCTAACCAGAGCTAATCAGGCGGCGGCTACAATGATATGGGCTTTGCGCTGGACGACACGATTGCGACGTTCGGCTACCTGCTGACCGAGGTCGACAAGCTCGGACTGGCGTACGTCTGCATCGTGCGCTATCTCGACTTCCTCGACCCCGCCAAGCGTGGGACCCCGCACGACATACTCGAGACCTACGCGCCATTCCTGAAGAACACGCCGATGATCCCCAATGGCGGGATCACGCCGGCGGAGGCGATCGAGTGGGTGGGGAGTGGGAGGTTCCCGGCTGTGTCGATTGGCATCCCCTGGATGTCGCACTCGGATTTGGCACGGAGGGTTCAGGCGGGAAAGCCACTCGATAATGAGGTGGACTGGCCGCATGCTTACGGGGGCGATTTTGAGCCGTCGATCGGATACTTGGACTATCCCGAGGCCACGTACGACGAGAAGTCCGACGTCTAGACGCATGGACTGTCATATCAAGTGCCACCGGAAAACTGGTGCACGACCTACCAATTTTAACTTACGGGAGCCACCGTAGAGAGAGAAAATAGATCTTAGATCATGTAGAACTCGTACTTCCCGCTAGACAAACTCGGTCCCAGAATTTGACTGAAGCTCTCGTACCGCAACCACGACATGAGCTCTCCATATCTTGCTTTGAACGTTGGCACGAAAGTCACGCGATACGACTTCCGAGGCCGGCCAGATCGCCATCCTCATAGCATCAACCGATGTCATCATCAGGTCTTGCAGCCCCATGACCGCACGCCATTGCACGGTAATCCCTTGCTCCCGTGCACCCAGATCCCAGTCCAACACCTCGAGCAACTATCTCTCGACCAGCCCGACGTCACGGCGTCCAAACACTCCGCTGCATCGCACCGACTGGCCGTTGCGCAACGTGCTGTGGTGTGTTGACTTGCTCGCGGCGATCAGAGTCCTGGGGAAGATTCGCTCGAGTGCGCATCCCGGAGATGCGATAGCGAGGCGCCGGCGCGCGCGTGCGACGCCGGCGAGTGTGATGGCGACGAGGACGGGGAGAGCTCTGATCAATGGGGTGACGAACAGTGCGAATTCGTCGATGGGGACGTGGGGTGATATAGAAGGACTATGCAACTCCCGGGAAAGGGCGGATCACATCGCGTCACCAATGCTCAAGCCTACATGTGGAAATGATTTTGCATGAGAGAAATCGCGACACGCTCGTTCGAAGGAACTATTCCTGCTTTCAACTCAATTCTAGCGCCTTCATCATCATCGCACGCGTTTGAAGATCAAAGCCTCGTATCTTTCGTGAATAAGGACCTCAACGCCATCGGAGAAGGAGGGTAACCGAGGGAGGGAGACGCATCTAATGGCAGGCCTGTCAACCACGGTCCCAACAAGTCAAAGATGCTGTCCTGCGACGGAAGACAGGGAAGATCGCGGAAGACCCGTGAGTGCTGCTCGAAGCACATGCCTCCGTTCACCTGCCGCAAAGTGGGTCTGATCGTCGTCTTTGTCGTCTGGGTGGAGTCCGCTCGTTGTTGGGTCGGCGACGGCGGTGAGGAGAGGATTCTGTCTCTCGAGAGCAGTCGAGAGATGAGCAGGAAGCAGGGACAAGCAGCACAGCATAGCCACATGCTGCCATCTTCCCCAGGCATGACTGGCGGCCCTCGCTTGATGTCTGAATACCATGACGAATATCGGGAGCATGAATTTCTCCTGTTTTGCAACTGCAGCTGCCGGAATCTAAGACGCGGATAGCCGCAGAGGGATTGCTCGGATGAGATGCCAGAACGCAGACAGGAAAGCGGGGTTTTGGCACGCCCGATGAGTATCGTTCTCGCCCCATGACGCCAGCGCTCACGGGCTTCATGCTCTCTCCGCCCTCGTCCCATGGCTTCGCACACGCAATGTTACGTTGCTCCTGTGGCTCTTGTCTACATCGACGACAAAGTCCCATACACATATGCATGAGACCCCGGCGTCACGCCATTTCAAAGCAGAGGAACTGACAGCGAGGCATCCAACGAGCGAAGAGATGCCGGAAGCTCCCCGCTCCTTTCGTGCCGAATGGTGGCTGGGCCCTGGCACTTCTGCTTGCTCATACGATCTGCGCTGAGCCTCGGCAGTCTGGAAAAAATCAGGATCGACCTAGCGAGCTCCCACCTGGCCTCGGTTCCGGATCGCTACTCCCAGCGCAGGCGAGCTGTCTCGACCCTGAATGCTCCGGGCCTTCTTCGGAGCCCGGATTGTGAGACCGCTGCGTCTCGTACCTCACTGGTCGCCGGCGAGAAAACGGGTCGGGCACAATTGAAAACGATCTCCGAGTACCCACAGGCTACCTCCTTTGCTGGACCTCCTCCAGCATCGAGGATCCATAAAATCCCGCTGCAGACACAGACACACTGCGAGCCAGGCTCGCAATCCTGAAATGCATGAGTATATCTTACGGCATGCGATGGAGTCGCTTCGAAAAGGAAGGGATTCTAGCGTAAAGGTTACAACCGGGTTTACCCACCCTGGAAACATGGCATCTGGGCGGTCGCATCGCAACTGAATCCGTTCTGTGTGGTGCGAGCTGAAGGCACTCCCCGGGCGAGAACAAGGAAACAGGAACCTCAATATGACATCAAGGGTGCGCTGTGCAGAGATACAAGCCGTGGTAAGCTTCGACAGCGTGTGCTGCACAAGCAAGCTCAATTGAAGTTCGAGCAGAGATCACCGTCGCTTCGATGGGCCCGATTGGCGGCCGGAGCCTCGTTTGCGACGTGCGAAAATTGATTCTTGCGCGCTGATCCTCGGCCAAACCTACGATCCTGACGATGCTCGGGCTCGGACTCAGTCGCTGCTGAGCACATGGTGGCATGGACCGAGGTGTGGATGAGCAGCTCACCGTCTCCTGAATGGGCTGTGATGCAAAGCGATATAAAATAGGGCGGACGCAGATTCCGGAATCATCATCACTCATTCCTCTTTCCTTCCCTTCCTCCCCATCGCACTCAACATGCCCTCTATCACCACTTTCCTTCAAC